AAACTTGTGTTGTCGTTTTCTACTCTCTCGTCGCCTCAGAGCGCATCAAGTTTTCGCCGGAGAGTCCACCAGCCCGATTTCAGGCGTTCTGGCTGCCTTTTCAATCCCGAAGAGCCGATTGATGGAATTGATGGAATTGATGGTTTTTCTGGCCCTCCCGGGCTGATTTTTTTTTCCTTCATGCCAGGCAGGTCCGTCACCGCGTTCACCGTGTTCACCGTCGTCTACTATACCCTACTCTAACCTACTTGGGCACGTCGAGCCGCGGGTCCGGAGCTATGATCTCGCTTGCGGGTGAGCTCTGGGCTGAAAACAGCGGTGGACGGTCCAGCGAGTGGAGGTGGTGCCTGACTGTTCAAGGCTCAATTGGCGGGTCATCAGTAACCGCCAGCCACCGATGAAGCTCGTGCCGGTCTGTGAGGCACCGGGGAGGCGTCCAAAGAATGGGGCGCCTCCGAAGCCTCCGCCCCCGCCAGGCCCCTGCGCCTGGGCGGGATACCCTCTCAGTCCCCCTCCGAGGAGGGCTGTCGGGGAACGGAATGCTGCCCGTTTTTTGCAGCATCTATCGCCCCCAGTCGGGTTGTGTGCGGAACGAAACTATGCCCTTTTTTTGCAGCTTTTCGACCCCAAATACCAAGGTCGGGATTCCGACCTTGCCTCCAACAACTCAGATTCAACCCATTCTTTCATCAAAAAGGGGCCGGTGTCGCAATTAGCCGAATCTGGCCGCCTCGAAAACTCGCTACTTTTCGATCAAAACCCCCTTGCTTCAGGCTCGGGCGGCTCGGGCGGATTTGCCCGAGCCTGAAGCAACCTCAAAGGACGCTCAAAAGCTCCGAATTGGTTGCTTGAGCGTGAAGTGCGGGCTCTCCACATCGTAAAGCCAAACCCGCCCCCTCAGGGTCAGGCCCTGAACCGAAGCATAGGTAATCGCGCTGCAAAGCCGCGTGTGCTTCAGCGCGAAGCACTGCCCACTCTCCAAGCGAACCACGTCCCCCTCCACCGCTTCCTAGGTGCCCTTCCGCACCTTGCCGCCGGCCCCGATCAATCGCAGCCCCGGCCAGACCCTCATGGTCTGCGGCGCAGCCTGCAAAATGGATCCAAGAACTTGTCGGCAAAGCATTTGTGGCGTAGCGGCAGATTCGTTTGCTGCTGTGTAGAAGGCTTCCAGCACCTTTGCAGCCTCGTTGTTCTGGTTTGATCGTGAGGACAAGATGGCTAAGTCTCTCAGATACCTGCGAAGCAGATTGACCCTTTCGGTCCGAGCCACAGAGTGCGAACTTCCCAGATCTGTCCATACATACCCGCGCGCTTTTCGCAACATGATGTTGCCACTGTGTGGGTCAGGATGGCCTGTTCCAGCCTCTTCCAGCCACAGCAAGTCCCTAACGTACGTCAACAAAAAGGATATAAGGTGAAATGGCTGAGGCGGCAAACTGCATCGTCCGCGCTTCCCCTGCGAGGTGTCTTGCAGCCAGTGCAAAACGGAACACCTAAATCCCTTGTAGACTTCTAGACGTATGTGCCAGCGGGGGTCCCGGGGCGAAGTCAAGGTGCAAACATCCATGGCAGTGTTCACTCCATGGTGAAGCTGCCCCACCGCAGTTGCAGCTGCCACTGACTGGGCTTCACGTCGAATGCTATCAAAACTCTGCAAGTGTAGAGGACGACCCGCCACAGGCTCTAGTGCTTGCTGCAGTTGTGGGACGAAGACTTCATGTTGAAGTCCATCCAAATGCTGCAGCAGATCTTCAAGTCGTACGTTGTCGTCACGCATTTGGGTCGCTGTGAAGCCGACACGGACAGCAATTGGTCCGCTGCAGTGCCCTCGCAAGACGATGTGTCTTGTGCCCATTATGGTTTTGTTCTGCACGATGTGGCAGTGTCGGAAGCTTTGCATAGTCGGGCACACTGAAATGGTTGTCGCAGCCACCACTTCAGCTATGAGCACTACTGCAAAACAGACAACGTGCACACCATGGCACACCATGATCCCTTCTTTGAGAGAGCACACAGCTGGGAAAAGCGATCAGGGACCCTGCCATGCTACGTACATGCCTGGGAACACGGTGGACGTTTGAGAAATCTACGTCTCGGCTGTTCTTGACACCTAATCCGACCTGGGAGCTGCCGATGTGAACTCTCTCAAGAAGATCGTTTTAAACAATGACAAAAACGGGCTTTAACAACCCGATTGTTCTGACTACTCATCCTGAACATTCTGGACCTTAATGAACAGAAGCCCTGATAAAGAAAATGGAGCAGAGACACATGTACGCCGCATGGACATGAAAGCAGCCTGAGTATAAAAGAGATGGCAACAGAATGCACTTTCAACAAACCTCAGCCTCACCTGTTGACATGTTGCAAAACGTTACTCGCCACAGCTAGAACCTCTCCTTTTTTGAGCCGCTTTGGGGGAGGTGCCGACGTCACTAAAAAGGACAAGTCCGGCTAGAGGCACGGACACATCCCACGAAGCAGCACAGGAATGTAATGGCGAGGAAACCAGCCTAGTCCGGATAGACCAAGCACAAAAAACAGGATTGCACGTTGCAACGCAGATCTCCAAACCCTCACTCCGTCACATTGGCAGCGCTTGAAACGCGCTTGTACCGAGGGAAAGTGCCAAGTGCTGTTGGCGTCTTCCACGCTGTGCTCCGCCCCTGCCGCAGCAATCCGGAGCCAGCCCCCTCTCCCTCGGTCGATAGCCTTCGCTGCTCTTGCAAAGTGCTGTGCACAGGTTTTGTGAGGAAAAAAGCGTGCGAGCCTCGTCGTAAACCAAGGTCAGTTTCCTGTCTGCTGCCAGCTTGAGGGCCTTCGGAAAGGTCAGGTCATCCTTGTTGATCGTTTGGCTCGCCTTGATGGCTTCGACAGTCTCCGTCTCCCAAGCGGATTCCTTCCCTGCGCCATTGAAGGGCACCATGACGCACTTTTCGGGAAACCAAGGTGTCAAATGCTCCGCCAGTGAAGACAACACTATGTCCGTCTCCAAACAACTTGCCGACAAGCTCAGAAGAACCTTGTAGGGAAATGAAGACATGTTGGTCTTCGTTAGCCACTTGTCCAATGTGTGGCAGCGTTCGAATGGCACGATTGGGTGCGCTGAAGCTAATGGGGCATCCGACGTGTTGCAGCCACAAGAAAATCACCACCACAGCACGGATCTTTTGCGCACTCTTCCCATTGCTTCAGCCACTCGAAGCCACGGGGCAATGCGATGAGAGCAACTTGCAGGCAAATTATGCTTGTCCATCAATTCAAGTTCGTGAAAACATGCTGGTATAGGCATCAAAACAAGGTCGTTAAACATGCTTTTCTACTTTTGGGCATGTTGCGTGCGCCTGCATACGCTTGCTGTGCAACTTGTTCGCAAAAACAGGCTGCTGAAGCCAACCACGCAACATCGGTGGCGAGTCATGGCATGCAAGCAAGCACTGTTCCACACCAACGATTTCACAGGTCGCTAACTTTGTGGAACTATGCTACGCCTGAACGTAAAGACCGTTCACCATCTGCTGCCCGGTCGAAACACATCACTTGTAAACATGACCACACCGAAGATTTGCCCCGTGCACGTCGCAAAGCTGGACGAGTGAAACCCAGAGCCCGCACAGCCAAATCACATCGCCAAAGGGCCTTCAGGGCCTTGATTTCGCGCCGCAAGCCTGCACTCGTGAACTGCGGCGAGGTGCAGGGAGCGGAAAACCCATCAACTGCTCCGGAGCCTATATAAGACCGCTCAAAAACCCGCCCAAGACTGGGCGGGCGAGGCGACGACGCACTCGGACACTCGATGGAGCACTCGGCTGCGACGACGGTGACGGTGGCGGTGACAGTAAGTTTGAAGGCACGGCCCATTGCGAGGGATGGGGTGCCACGGGATTAGGTTCGCAGGGTTAGGGTGCCCTGAGCCAAAAACCACACCCAAAAACAAAAACACTCAAGCAGAATGTTACTGCGAAAGTCGACGAGCCTAACGTGACTACTGCCACAAAGCAAAAAAATTAACATCACCGAGGAAAAAATCCATGAACATGCCACCGCTCCAAGCCAAACCCCATTTCGCCCCGACACCCAAAAAGAGGCGAGACAGGCGAGACATTGAGACAAACTCCCTTCTATCAGCCCGGCCCCCCAGAAAACGACGAGGGAGACACGCGAGACATTGAGACAAACTCTCCAGAAAGACGAGGGGGACAAGCGAGACATTGAGACAACCGCTTTGACTCGTTGTCTCGCTTGTCTCGCTTGTCTCACCAGCTCGCCTACAGGCCCACGGCCCCAATCGTGCTCATCCTATACCCCCCACAGATCCAGTGGACGATAGCCACAGGTTCGCGCCCCATGGACACTGAATACCCCAAACCACGAAATCTTGAGCCAAACCCAGGGGACGTACCCACTAAAATCGTGCTCGCACCACAGTCCGGCGCGAAGCGGCCCGGCAAAGCCTTTTTGGGCTTGCGCGGGCCTTCTCGGGGCTGGCTTTGCACTTTTGGCCGGAAGGTGCGCGAACATAGCACCCCGAAAATCGACTCCGAGCGGTTCTGGCGATTCCGTGTCATCCTAAACCCTCCCCGACCACGTTCCGAAGCTGGCCGGCACCGATTTGGCCGCCTGGCCCGAAACAGTCGATCAACATGAGCAGGGTTCATGTTGAAAATCGGGGCTCTCACCCGTGCGCGGTGGGCTCCGGGGGCCGTGGTCGGGGCGCACTGTCGCCGGGCGGGCCCAAAATCCAAAAAAATCCGGGTGCGGCATGGTGTTTAGGGCCATGGGCGCTTGGGGTGCGAAATGCCGGCAATGTCGAAATTACTGGACAAAATTAAGCATCAGCGGGACATGCGAAAGCACAAGTCCCATTCACACTTTAAAAAAACATGGAATTGGCGTGCCGGAAACGCCATGGAGGAGCCCACCGAAGCCAATCTCAATATATCGGCGGGACCGTTGTTGAGCCCGATGTTGAAAAAACTGCGTGTTGTGTAGAAAAAAGCATGGAATCGGCGCGCCGAAACACCACGCAGGAGCCCAGCGAAGCCAACCTCGTGCGACTGCTGGACCTGTGGTCGGCGGACTGGAAGCACCGGGGGCGCACCCGGGCGGTGGGCCCAGGAGCCTACGAGAGGTACGCAACGCTGGGGCTTTTCGGGCATGGAGTGGTCGGTGTCTCCAATGCAACGGGTCTGCGGGAGGCCTGCGCCGCCGTGAACGTCTCCGGAGCCGCTTTCCGAACGGCTCTTGGACGTCCATAGCTGCACTCTTCAACCCACGCATGGGCTTGCACCGTGACATTCAGAACATGGCCGGGCACTTGAATCACGCGCTCGCTCTGGGAGACGACACGGGAGGGCGTGTGTGGATCGAAGACGATGACGGGGACTCCACGGCCTTGGGCGGCAGGGAGCTGCGGGGCAAGTGGCTGGACATGCACGACAAGCCTGTCAGCGTCGATGCCCGCCGCTATCACATGGTGGAGCCACACGAGGGCAGCATGTGGGCACTCGCTGCTTATGTTCCGCAAGCCTATGCTCGGGCGAGCGAGCAGCACCGGCAGGCGCTGAGAGAGGCTGGCTTTCCGCTGCCGCTGCTTGAGAAAGGCAGTGTGTGATTTCGTCACACACTTCTTGACTTTTGAGAAGTGAATCAAGGGTGAACTTCTGAACTTCAGAAAAAAAATCGGTCACCCGGAACCGGGGAAAAAACGATCAATTCCATCAATTCCATCAATCGGCTCTTCGGGATTGAAAAGGCCGCCAGAACGGCTGAAATCGGGCCGGTGGACCGTCCGGCGATAACTTGACGAGCTCTAAGGCGATGAGAGACCAGAAAACGGCAACACAAGTTTGAGAAAACGAGGCAACAGCGGCGATTGATGTCGATTGATATTTCGCGGGCCAAAATATCAATCGCGTTTTCGGTGCAAATCCACACAACTTTCACGCTCTTCGACCTGTGCGCTCTCTCTGGGGAGGGTGT